GGTTTGATTGGAAGGGAGCAACTTGAATGTGCAGACCTTCAATTTTTACATTCTAATTCCTTTTATGATGAGTTCATGCATTTGATGTGTCTTATCTCATGAATGTTGGTAGATGTTAGAATAATTTGAATAAGGCAAGAAATGGTTGTAGTGGGGAAACAGTCATTAATCTTGGATTGTAAGATCCTAAGCTCTCTAGATCAAGATTTTGATAATCACGGTTACGGGACTTGTGACCCTGTGGGGAAATGGTCATTTCTCTTGCTAGGGAACTCAGATCTGACGCATTGGATGTGTTAGAACCTAGACTCGTAGATCTTTTCAACCATGTAGGGTGCATTAACTAATTCTTTCTAAGTGAAGACTGGTGCTAATCTAAATATGGCGGTAAATCTACANTTTTCAACCATGTAGGGTGCATTAACTAATTCTTTCTAAGTGAAGACTGGTGCTAATCTAAATATGGCGGTAAATCTACAACTGCTGAAATGCCAACCAGCTTAAAAACCTATAGAAATGAGTGTAACTTTTTACACAAAACTCCGATTTTAACTCATGACCTATGATTGAAAGCTTCAGAAGTTATTTTTGCAATGAAAATGGTTTCGTTAAAAAAAATCAAAGTAGAGAGAGGGGACCAAAATTCACAAAATAGTTAGCTGATACATTAATTTTAGACTTGGAATTGTATTGTTTCACTACTTGCACCTCAAATTTAACCAAATAGGAATTTTTTGTATATCTTCTATCACTTGTGCAAAGGACTAGAAGGAATTAATTCAAATTTAAGCTAGCATACATGCATGTGCATTCATGTCATAATGCACATACAGATGATATTCATGTATCATTTATGTGTGGAGGCGACTACACCAACGTTGGCTTCATCAAGGGTTTGACTGGTGGATTGATTTGAGTGTAAAGTTTATCCCAAGGTGAGTATATTAATTCATATTGATTGAAAACTTGAATAATTGTCAATCTACAAAAATATATTTATACATGCAAGTTAAACAAACATTAGGACTCAGACTTTTATTAGGTCGTCCCACCGGCAACATATTGGTAGTATTCCCCCTACTGAGAAAAAAAATAGACCAAACAAAAGTCTTTGACTTTTGAGGAGCTCTCTACTTTCCAAATGAGTTTGTTAAAGGAGAAGGAATGGATATTGTAAGAGTTTGCAAGAAAAGTTGCATAACTTATCCACGATTCAAAGTCTACAAGGGAGGAATAAAAGCTACAAGAAAAGTTACATTATTTATCCACGATTCAAAGTCTACACACACGAGAAGAATTAGAAAGACGATAAAGTCATACAAAAAAGTACCCAAAGGTGACTGACCCTTCCGAGTATCCTCCCAAATAGAATCCCAAACCCGTCCCCAACCTTATAACTAATCAAAGGAAGCTAGGAATGATACACCGGTGAAATAAATTTCCAAGAGAGACATAACATTGTGGCACATTTCTAATCAGAGCTTGGGTGGAGAGAAACAACCCATCGTTGAGGGAATCTTCCAAAACGAAAAAGGATCTCCGAGGGTAGTAGTATCCCTAAGTCCTAATCATAGCCATAATTATAACCAAAGAACTCAAATCACCTCAGGTGCAGAATCCACTTTTTCTAGTTCTTACTTAAATAAGTGCACTTCTTTTGAGTGGAAACCATGGATAATACAAGGAAAATTCTAATTAGAATCTTGTCGGCTCTATTAAGAAGGTCAAACGTAGAAGCATTTGNATAATCCACTTTTTCTAGTTCTTACTTAAATAAGTGCACTCCTTTTGAGTGGAAACCATGGATAACACAAGGAAAATTCTAATTAGAATCTTGTCGGCTCTATTAAGAAGGTCAAACCATCTTCGTAAACAATCATTACAAAAACCGTAAAATGAACAATAGAATTTTGTTGGGGATTTTAGTGTCCTGTTCTTTTGAAGGTTTGAAAGACCTAAAGTAATAGTTTGTGGCCGGTACGTACTTTTCTGTCTTTGTTGTTCTATTGTTTTTTCTAACTCTTTTGTTTTCTTTGGAGTTTTGTGCGTTTTTTTACTAACGTTCCTTCTTCTACGTCTGATGTTCGTTTATTCATGAGTTTAAAAGAGTTTCNCACCTAAAATCACAAGACAAGAAAACTTTCAAACTTTCTGGATTTCATTATCAAACACCGGCCATGCATAAAAAGACAGAAACAACAAGATAACAAAAAAGATTGAGAAAACAAAAGAAACCTCAAAACACGCAAAAAAATAATTGCAAGGAAGAAGATGCAGACTACAAGCAAATAAGTACTCAAATTTTCTCAAACAAATGTGGATGAAAGAAGCCTAGGATAGATAGATGGGCATACACATTAAAAAAAAAAAATATATATATATATATATATGACTACAGTGTTATTTAAGGCGTAAAGCAAACCGCAGCGACCAAGGCTCCTAACGCCTAGGCGAGAAGCGAAGCGACAGGCTTTACCGAAGCAAAGCGAACAGTTAAAAAATATATATATTTTAGTTTAATTACTTTTAAAATAATCTAAGTTCTAATTTTATATATACTAAATATTTAAATGCAAGTAAAACCATAAACATTTAAATTAAAAAAAACACTAATAATATCTCAAATCTTAATAACAGTCATAACTTAAACATTTAAATTCAAACAAATACTAACAATTGTATACATTTTCATATTGACAGGGTAGGACAACAAAAGAAGCAGAATCAGGACAACAGCAGAATTTGCAACAAAAAAAAAAAAGCAGAATGAGGATAAAAAAAAATAAAAGCAACACAGGACAGCAAAATCGAAGCAGCAACAGAATCAACAAAAAAAAATAGAAGCAGAATGAGTTAAAAAAAAAAACAGAAGCACAATGATCATGACAGGAGCAGAATCAATTGTAAACAATTTCATATGTAATTATATACTGAATAAAAAAAAGCAGAACAGAGGCACATTTCACATGTACTAAAATAATTAAACATGGTATAAGCATAGACCACTTTTTGGTACCATTTGTATATATATAAGAAAAGGGAAAAGTATAACCAAGACATATCAGAGACACTTCTTTGTAGAAGAATCTATTATTTACCCTCATTTTTGATACTCCTGCTTTCTTTTTTTATCATAATTGTCATGCAGTGCAGTCGCTTGACTCCCACGTCCCACAAATATTCTAAATGAATTCAGCAACACAAGGAAAAAAAAAAATGTGTTTTGTTCGAAACATTATTTATTAGAAAAAAAAAAAAATAGACCAGCAATAGTCTAAAAAAAAGTCATTAGTGATTAAAAAATAAAAGAGACTACTAATCTGTAATCAGAAAAAAAAAAAGTGAAGCAGAATCGCTTTTTATAATAAAGCGTTCGGTTTTTCGCTTTTTTTGCTTCTTCCTCGCTTCGCTCACTTTCGCTTCTCCTAGGGTCCTCCAGGTGAGATAAGCTCGCCTCGCCTCGCCTCGCTTCTCGCCTAGGCGAGCTTTTCAAAACACTGTATGACTATATATCGATGTATATGGAGAGAGAGTTGGAGCATGTAACAAAGTGAAAAATGTTCCAACCTTTACTTTCTGTGACATCTATGATCAACGGAAAACTAGACCTGGACAGAAACAAAGAAATTGATGTGCCACTCGTATGCACTAAACAAAGAAAGTGGCAAATCATGGAATATAAAAGTCACCTCAAATCACAGGCAAATAAATCATTAAAACCAGAATCCTTTCCCAAGAGANTGGCAAATCATGGAATATAAAAGTCACCTCAAATCACAGGCAAATAAATCATTAAAACCAGAATCCTTTCCCAAGAGAATTGTGCATGCCAAACCTCCCAACTCAAGGAGACAGAGAGTAGATATGGAGAAAGGAAACAAACAAAAACAGTAGTTAACCATGAATCTAACAAAATTCATCATCCATCGTGACCAACACTTTGTCCACCAGATTTTTAAAACTAAAAGATATTCATAAAATTAGGGTAGTATCGGAAGTCATTGCTGAATAGTAGTTCTATTCCCACATCATTCAATTCTCCTATTTTTCACTAGCAATTCATCTTCAACACATCAGAGCACAATAATTAGNCCTGGACAGAAACAAAGAAATTGATGTGCCACTCGTATGCACTAAACAAAGAAAGTAGCAAATCATGGAATATAAAAGTCACCTCAAATCACTGGCAAATAAATCATTAAAAGCAGAATCCTTTCCTAAGAGAATTGTGCATGCCAAACCTCCCAACTCAAGGAGACAGAGAGTAGATATGGAGAAAGGAAACAAACGAAAACAGTAGTTAACCATGAATCTAACAAAATTCATCATCCATCGTGACCAACACTTTGTCCACCAGATTTTTAAAACTACAAGATATTCATAAAATTAGGGTAGTATCGGAAGTCATTGCTGAATAGTAGTTCTATTCCCACATCATTCAGTTCTCCTATTTTTCACTAGCAATTCATCTTCAACACATCAGAGCACAATAATTAGTTCCCCTTACAATTTTTATTTGAAACATAAAAGTGATGCCTTCATAGTTGGCCATCTTGTCATTTTTTCATTGGACAGTATCTCAACTACTCCAAAAAGGCATATAATTTGGGGGTCGACCAAGCCACAGACTGCCCTAAACTGCAAAAGATGGATATTCCATCATCCAGCAAGGTTGACACATATACACATACATATGTATAAGCTCAAGAAAAGAAACAAAAATAACAAGAAGCAATATAGTTGAATTTCACACTCAAACTTTAATCTAAGAGATTTTGTTCTCAATTTTAAAATGTTGGTGTGGGAACACAATGAACTTTACTTTCACTGCCTAATTTCACCAAGGAAGATGGTGATGGGGGCTGAGCCAATTGTGGTGCACGTTCGAGTGGTGAAGATGATTATGATAGCGGCAACAACTAATAGTGCCATGATAGAATAGAAGGATAAAGCATTTGGCACTAAAAAAAAAAAAAGATTTGCTCAGAATTGAAAGGGAATCAGACCAACAAGTGACCACTCTCTGTTTCAAGCTCATCAAGCACAGCTTCCCACTCCTCCTTGAAAGTTTCCATTTCATCCGCAATGGCCTTCTCCAGCTGTGAACGAGAGAGTAAGCATCAGTAATAGGCAGGAGCAACAAAATCTAGGAAAGAAATGAGGATCTAGTTTGGAAAACTTACTTCATCCCCATGTAATGATTGTGACAACTCTTCCCTAACGTCAGCCTCTACTTTCGTTAGTGACTCATCTTCGAGGGATTCTTGGGCCTCTGCAGCCTAAAATGGAACATCAAAGAACAAAATAAGAATAGAAGAAAAAAAAAACAACACAAAACAAAGCAAAAAGAAATGGTAACTAAGCAAAGGAAAATCAAACCTTACTCTCAACTTGCAAGAGCTCAGCAATTAGCTCTTCTATTTCTTCTTCAATCAAAGGTGTCTACACAACAAAAAACGAGAATGAAATTAAGGACCAAAGTTACATTGACTTGTGCATATAAGGTATAAAATATGAAGAGAAGAAGTGCTCAAATATTTCATGACATTAAACTTCAAGAAGAAAGAAAACAACTTAAAGCCAAAAATCCAAACATCTATATTGACTTGCCTCAAGATGCAAATCATCATCGTGGCCAGATGTTGATGTTTCATCGTCACCAGAATCATCAATGAGAGAATCCATTGAAGCACTCTCTGCATCCTCAACACTCTCAAGTTTTTCTTCCATCTCTTATTCAACTTCTATAAATTAACAAAATAACCCTGAATGTAGAAATCTGTTGCTTAAAGTTTCAATACCTACAAATCAAATAGAGGACATAAAATTTCACTTAAAATCCATCACAATGTACGACAAATAAACAAAATACAAACAAGGAAAATGCCAGTCCATGATCATATTGCAAAACTAACAATATGTGCTAAGTAACGCAATTATAATTTAAGAACATAGCATTTATCAGATATAATTGGAAGGAATTCACCTTTTACAAGTATCTACATCTATATGGAGCATATTGTGCATACATAATGACTCGAAACTAAAATAGAATGAGAAAAAAATTAGATCTAACAAAATGGCAGGATATGCAAAAACAGTACAACAGTACTCCAATAACTTCAACTTAAAAGGCTGTAATCCAAAAGGAGCTATCTCCGTATAATATAATGCCATATAAAAAAACTAAAATCAAGTATAAAATAATTTGCATAATCTAGCATCAATTTCATCTCGGTGTGTAATTTAATTGAATAACTTAAACATTTGCAATGATCAAACTGTTTGTAAATACAAAATGGGTTGGAGACACGAACTAAAATCCGCCAACTTGTGTCTACTGATTTGCCCGAGGACACTAATGCAGAGCCCGGGAACCAAATGTTGGTGTGGGTACAAGGTCATGAAATTAAGATTGAAACTAATNTAAAATAACACAGATACACGATGCAATGATCAAACTGTTTGTAAATACAAAATGGGTTGGAGACACGAACTAAAATCCGCCAACTTGTGTCTACTGATTTGCCCGAGGACACTAATGCAGAGCCCGGGAACCAAATGTTGGTGTGGGTACAAGGTCATGAAATTAAGATTGAAACTAATTTACAGCCTCCACCCCATGTGTAAACATATATTTGTTAGCACATTGTGTGATACCCAATGCTTTTTACACATCCGAAACTAACTTTCTTCGTCTAGCGATAACTGTAAGTACCGTGGAGCAGAGAACAGGCTCATAACCACTGCAATAATAGAAACTTAAAGCGAAACAAAAGGAAAATATCTAATACAACCCCATTTAACATCTAAACGATTCCATTATATATACTTATAGACCCTGAAATCATGAACGAAAAACCAATGCAGTTTGGTCGATACGATGCTTTTCACACAGACAAAAGAGAAAGAAAGAAAGAAAGAAAGAAAGAAAGAAAGGGAGCGCCGAGAAAGCTCAGTTAAGACGTACTGAAAAGCCATTGGAGCACGGAGTTATTGCCGTCAGGTGTAGGTGATCATCGACACCGCCGGAATCAGTTCAACGTCTTTGTGGATTTTTGAGGGCTCAAAGTAAAAGGCACGATTTCAAAACCCCCAACATCACCAGCCTCCGACCACATTTTCGATTTTGATTTTGTTTTATGATATTGTACGTTAAGATCCATGAAGCCTTGCTGAACTTCAAAATTGGGAATCGCCTAATTTAACGTGGGTCCCAATCTACTTACAATTGAAATCGCCTGATTTCTGAAAAATTATTTACAAAATAATTGTGAAAATTACAATTTTGAAACCATTATAGTATGAAAGAATTTCAGCAATTACCCATTGTTTCTAATAATACACTCCGCTTCCCCCTCCACAACTTACTTTTTTTTGTTTTTTATTCAAGGTGTTTGGCCAACTTACTCATGCCTGAACTAATCTCTTTCCAAAACTGTCTCCTACCAAATTCATGAAAATGATGTTTTTTTAAGGAATAATTACATTCAGATCCTTTAAAATTTGTCATTTAATCACTCAAATCTGTAATATTTAAAATATTACATACAAATCCCTGAAATTTGTAAACACGTAATACTTAGACACCTACCGTCAATTTTCATTAGTAAGTCACGCTCAGACTCCTTGAAGTTTGTAGGAATGTAATACTTAGATCCCTCAAGTTTAAAATATTATACTTAGACTAAAAATATTTTAATCAAAAATAAAATATCAAATATTTTAAATTTTACATATTCTATTATGATATTTATTGTAAAATCAAAAATAAAAATTTAATTTTTCTTAAAAAATTATAATTAGTATATAATTATATTATCTTAGTGATATAGGTGTAATTCTCCCTTGAAGTGTTACACGCATACAAACTTCAGAGGACTTATATATAATATTTTAAATGTCAATAAATCTGAATAATTAAATCTATGTGTAATTCTCCTTTTTTCCAACTTTGCAATTATTCCTCACCCTTATATTCAAATAGTTCTTGTATGCAAACACCCTTTATTCATTATTTACACAAACTCGTACGTCCACCCGAGTAAGGCTAGAACTAGGCATAGGCCATTGAGATAGTTGCTCATAGCGCCATCAAACGGAAAATGAAATTTGGTACCCAAAAATAATTTTTTAAGAATTTTCAAAGAAAAAATTAAACTCGATTATTGTTTTGATATTAACACAATTTTTGGATGATTAATTGACTATCCTCCAATTGTTATGAGTTGTACCTTTTCTCTTTAAAGTTAAATTTTAAAATCAAAACAACTAGAAAAAAGATTGGGTACTAGTAGCTTATTATCCAAAAACTGACAATAATCATAATTGGTTTCTCATTTAACACATGACTAAGCAATCCTCAACCACGTCTTTTTTTTTTTCTAAAAAAATTATTGTAAAAATTGCAACTTACATTCATTCCACAAAATAATATTTTGCTATCTTACCGAGATTTAATTCTCTTTTTATATATTGTCAACAAATAGAAAGCTTAATTACAATTAACTAGCAAATGCAACTTCAATAAATGGAGTTTTCATGCACAAAACTTGAATGTAAAAACTTAACTAGTATTTTCATATTTCAAAATAAGAAAAAAAAAATGATAACTCTATGGTTATGTTGTTCATAGCACTAACAAATGCACAACTCTTATGCATTTTGTTCAAGACCTAGTTCAAAGTATGGTCAAATCTTACTTGGGAAGAATTTTGGCCAACTCTTAGTATACATCACTACTCCATTGAACGTAAATGATTTTTAAATAAATATATTTTATATTGTAAATCGTATACATAGTGCAAAAACGTAGGATCAAAGACATATCTTATTTATTTTTAATCCCGAAAACTTTGAGGATGTTCTATGTTCTTTGGAATTTGAAACCATCATTTCTTTTATTGTTCAAGCAATATGGTGATGTTACACAAGAAGAATCAACATCAAATATCCACACACACAAAAGCCCCGTTGCGCATTATTTAGGGATGGAGAAACAAAAAGAGAACAAGAGTTTTCAATGTTACATGAATTATCATATTTTTTATATTGGATTGCCTTGGGTTTATATAGGCAACTAATACATATCACCAAGAGGCACATCCTTCAAAGACATATCTATTAAATGTTAACAAACATGTATTTTGGGTGATAAAGGACACCTCCAATAGTTATGCCCATTTGGGCATTCTCCAATTGGGTCAACTCACAATGGGCACCCAATTTGGGTCCATGACCCAACCCAATATCTAATATCCCTCACTTGCACATGGTGGGTATGACAATGTCATCACTCTTAATTCATCATATACACTAACGTTAGTTCATCCAGGATAATGGGTTGTGCGACTGCTAAGCACAACTACAATTTTGGGAGCTATATATTAGGAACTCTACAGAGTCAGCGTAGACACATCAACCCTAAAAAGGTGGTCTCTCAAGTACCCTAAACCCATTCGATTACACTAGTTCAAGCATCTTTAATCCCTCATTACACATGAGCATGCTTAACTCCTTGTAGTTTCTGCCTATATATTTACTTTGTCACTATCTAACATAGCGCCCTAAGTTGTTGAGAAAAACTATATTGTGGGATGTTGTAAATGGTCTTCTTTTCACCCTTATGTCACTTATTTCAGAACTAACTATTTTCCCATAAATGTCCCAAAAGATAGAATCACCCATGGCCACAAGTATTATGCCAAACTAGCTGACCATTAATTCTTTCACTTCGTGATATAATCAAAACTCAAAGAATAAATAGAATGTTTGGTTATACAAAATAACTTGATCATTTAATAATAACTCAGAGGACTCACACGGTAAAGAAGCAGAGATCTATTCCTTCACCTCCTTAATTGATCGTCGGGCACATGTAGCATGAAATATATGCTGCAGTGAAATGTCTCTGTCCTAATGAGAGCTATGCCATATGCATATACTACACAAATCTTAGTCTAGTCGATATGTGTAGGGTCCTGATCCAATTTCATATACTTCAAATTGCTAACAATCTCCACAACCCAAATTCAAGTTTCATAAATAATATACAATTCTTAGATGAAAATTTTAATATGATACTCATCATGTTCTTTTAAATTTTGGAATCACTAAGATCCTCAAAAATTAATGAATAATCTTCCGATGATAAAATTAATTACAATCGGTCAAAAATCTTTGATATTCTACTTGACGCGATTCTCCATCAAATTTCATTTCTAGTTCAACTTATAACTAAGAGGGAAAATGGGGGGTGAGCTTGGGAGGCCTAGTAAGCAATTTAAAACACAATATACAAAGTAAAAATATTAGATAATACTCGAACAACTACTCACAGAAACAAGAAATAAAAAAAATATTTTTTACAAATACACAAGATAAAATCATACGAAAATTAGTATTCGAAACTTTCAAATCATCAATGACTTTATACCTGGTTCGTCTCGACGATATTCTAGGCACCACTCAGTATGGAACATTATATTGAAATTCAAAACTAAACAATACAATAATCCGAACACAATAAGGATGATATCAATAAAACACTATTTGCAAAGAGATTTAATTAAGGATGCATATTATGAAAAAACCATTTACACAATCCTCAATCAATAAATATAATCAGCGAGCTATTGTGGTTAACACACTAGAATCTTGTATCAAAGGAAGCATAAATCATCCTTAAATTTTTCTTGCAAAACTCTCGGACCACCCCATCTCTTAATTTT